AGCTGAAAGCACTACTGAGAGCACTACCGAACGAGACACACGGAGCAAGGCCCACGTGCTTCAGGCTTCGGCTGCACCAACCCCACCATGAATCTCTTTTTCTCTGTCTCATTCCTTCCCTGTGTTTCCCTCTTTTCCTCGTTGCCGCATTTACTCACCGCATTCGCTTGTGGCCCGGTCTGCCCGGATTCTCTTTTCTTCCTTTCTCCTTTCCATTCTCATGCTGTAGCGACCGTCTGTTCTCCTGATACCCCACCAGGTCCTTCGGTAACCACCTACGTATCCTTCCGCGACGATTTAACCGTGCACGTGGAGAACCGCGTTCCTCTCGCAATTGCTATCTTTACGAGGTATAACACTGTTCCGGACAAAGTTCTTGCTCCAACTACGAAGGTATCGTGGTTGAAAAAACGGATATGGGATAACATATATATGACTTACATGCGGCTTGCAAATTTCATCATTGTCGGAACAAAGGTTCAGATGATTAATGGAGGTGAAGCATGAGCGGCATGAGAATATTGATCTTTCAGTTGCAAAATACATTATTTAGAAAAGAAGGATTTAGAAAAGAAGGAAAGATATTGGTTATAGTTTCACATTATTTAGGAATCTTGTATTTAAATCATATTTATCAAATTCTACAATAAAAAGGAACACGTATGAGAGACGGACAAGCATTAATCAAGAAGTTATATAACAGACTTAATATTATAAATTCTTCAAATACATACTAATATTATAATAAAGTAACAAACAATTTTTGTAAATGATTTTAATAAATAAAGTTTTTTAATAAAACTACAAAGAAGGCCACAACGGCAAAAAGATATTATAAAAGGTTAAAGTGCAAAATCAGAAAATTAGGCTAACAATGAATTGAAAATTAAATATTTATTAAGATAAAATATTCATGATAATAATACGAGTAAAATTATTCTGTGGATTAATATTAAATATTTAATGACATAGCCTACGGTTAATTGCCTATGCATACTCTAAATGTTACCTTTATATTACTTATATTAGAGCCTCAATAAGATAAAACAAAGTAAACCGCAGGACCATAAAATAAAATGAAAGAATAAATTAGCAAACTAATATTTGACTGACATATGTCTAGAAATAATATAATAAATATTAGATAATATAAATATAAAAAGACGTTTGTTGGAAAAGATATCTTTTATCTTCTCAATAACTAAATAACATATTTCTCCAAATTCTTAGAATTATAATGAATTCTTAATTTTCGTTTTTCAGTCAAAATTTTAAAATTATATATATGAAATTAAAATTATATTAAAGTAAATACATTTTAAATACATTATTATGATTATAATATTATAGTTAAGATTGTGTATATGGAAATAGTTTCAAACGAACAATAAACGATCTTCTTTCCCTTGCAACAATCATTAGTTATATGTATATTGAAGAAATATATTTGAGAAAATTATACGTTGAAACACACGGTTCTTTTGAATCAAACCAACAGCGTCGCAGAGAAATTACTCCAGATCGTCAACGATTAAATTCACAATGCAGTGAAGCTGGAAGTTACACGCATATTAGAAGTCTCTGTACCATTCTTGAATCACTTCGCGACGTTACTTGAGACCAAGGTCAGTAGTGCAGTGGCTGCAACCGCAGTGAGATCTTTGTTACCTTTTTACTCGTTCCTTACTGAGGGCGAACCAAAAGGAGTAGAATAATTGCACGGATCATCGTCACATTATTGCCCATTAGAAGAGCATGAAGCACAAAACATAAAAGCATATCGCAACCGGCGAGAGATAAATCAATGTAGCAGAATAATATACCGTAACGTTCGTTCTTATGAACACGATTTACCCTTCTTGTTCACTCATTTCTTCAATAACTCGACGTACAATAAAATTAAAGCGAATATCGAGAAGGTTTTATGATTTTCTTACATTGAGTATAAAGCGAGAGAAATATATTTTAGAACGAGAATGTAAATTTTAGAAAAACAAGAAAGCGAAAAACAATTTAGAAAATTACATAAATAAATCGCGATAGATAAATCACGTATTCTTCAATTTCTTGTTCGTTACACTTTCTATTTAAGACGCAAATAAATGTGCTAATTTAAATGCGAAGGACAGGATAAAGCCAAAGTAATATGTTTCATTCAGACAATGTCGATGAACTCGAATGAAATGTTTATGATTAATGCTGCTGACACTGTATAGGAATGTTAATCGAGCTCGCGGCGATAAAAGTATCTTTCTTTTCATTCGTAAGTTGTTTTTTTCTCAGTGCATACGATAAGCCTCGTTATCGAGATATCATAGACGTTCTCTCATTAATTATCGTTCGCTTTATGCCGATAATTTGTCGGCAGTCCGACCGGTTCGTCCTCACAATCAATTGCACACTCATCGAAATGCGCGTAAGTAATCACGACGTTGTTAATAAAAACGATTAGTTATTTCCATAATTTGCTTTAGGCTGCGCTCCAAGTTACGACTGAATTCCTATATAATCATTATTCAAAAATTAGTTGGAATTTTCTTACACATACCAATTTCATAAATTGTTGTAATTCCTGAGACTGACTTAATTAAGAGTTTTGATTGTGTAAAAGATCTTGAAGTGATTTGCATTGTTAAAATTTATTATTCTGATTGTTTTTGCTTTTGAGACTGGATTATTTTAAGCATATTTATAAGAAAAGCACTTGGTTGAAATGATTTATAAGCGTGCACATCTTAGCAATTTCTTCTTATAAAGTACAGAAAATTCCACTCTGTACAGAGAAATAATATTGTGATAAATCGCTAAAATATCATAACATCATAACATAAATCTTGATCTTATTTCAAAAGAAAATTTAAAATCATATCCGAAAGTTAATCATTTAACAATTATGTGACAATAAGTACAATAATCATATAAAAGCTATTTTATAGTTATATGACTATTAATAGATTGTTGTTTAGGCTTTATTCGTCAGTATTATAAAAAAATAAATGAGAAATTATGAAATATTGTAAATATTTGAAATATATTCTTATTTCAATCTAATAAATTATAACAGTAATATGAATGTATGCCTAAAAAAACAATCATAAAATTACAATCATAAAGTTATAATAACTTAGATTTAATAAATAGAATTCGATTAAGTTCACTTATTTCTTTCATCTTCGATGAAAAATCGATAATTAAATTATAGTTTATTTTCTGTAATTATTATTCAATGGATCAATTTATGGAATTAATTTTCTATAAATCTCTTTCCATAACTATTCTGTAATCAATTTATATCACCAGTTACATTGATACCATCTTTGTATGTAAATTCTACAAGCGATAATTTTGAGAATCACATAATTTTTATATCTCGAGGCATGCATAATGATAGATGGTATCGTTAGTAACAAAGTGCAGCTTTCGTCGTGAAAGCAAACTATCGAAAGAACTTAATCAAAGATATCAACCATTTATTAAACATAAAATATAATAAATTGCTTTATTTTCACATACAAATAAACCATAATTAAATTTCAATATATACATCATATTGACATTTTATTTATCTTATTATTCAAAGATATTTATAATATTTACTGTATTCTATTGAGAACGGAAAAATAAAACATGAGTTAAAATTAATTATGCTCTAAAGCAATTATGCTCTAAAAAACACAAATACATTTTAATATTGCTGACTATTTGTCAAAGTAATACCGGTTATTTTCCTGATATATGATATTATAATATGATACAATGTGATGTCGCAATATAGATACACACAGTGTTTCTAATGTTCTTTAATTTCTGAACACCAGATACATGACGCAAACACGGATACATACACCAGACTCAGGTCACGTATCCAGGTTTTGACCTACTGACACGATACAGTGACGTCACGGGAGAGCAGGAGGACGGCAAAAGGGTAGCAAGGCTGGTAGGTGGAGTTTCAACTTGACGAAGGAAATTTCTTCAGTACACGCTAAAGTGATAAGGATAATGAAAAAACAAAAAAATATACATGTTTACTATAAACTGTGACTGCTTCCCGTTATATATTCATTGCGACTATTGTTAGTACTGAAAATCTATAACATGCGTATGTAACATGAATTATAGATTTTCAGTACTTGCAATGAATAACGAAATAGCTTATGTAAGGCTAGAAAATTTTTACTCACATCAGTATAATATTTAAATAGTAGGGAGTTTTTGCAATACCGTTTATCCAGATACAGTAAAAGCTAAAATCAGGTTATTCTTAACAATTAATTAAAAAAAGGATAGCGTTCACCGTATCTGAATTCACGTTATTATAAAAACTCCCTATTTTAATTCAATTATGAAATAAACCTTAAATTCTTTAATGTCATTTTTAAATAATAATCTTCAATTTTTTTAACATTTTTTAAAACTTATATCTTTAAACTTACATCTTAAAAGTATATTTACAAATTTGATACAGAAACAGCTTTAAAAAAATTGTTCATTTGATTAAATTAATATATCTTTATGTTTTTTTGTTGGAAAATATATGTATTATATAACATATTTGATTTAAATTAAAAATGAACAATTTTTTTCTCAGTGTAGAATTTTAATAAAACTTATATTAGTTTGAAAGAGAGAGAGAGAGAGAGAGAGAGAGAGAGAGAGAGAAAAGAGCTTTGTAAATGTTATTAGTTATATAATAATAGCTTTTTTATATCTTTTTTATAATCTGTAGAAAAATTTCATATAAGTTATTATGATTTTTACTCATATTTTGCAAACAAATATGTAAGTATCAAAAAGGATAGTATTAATACAAGAAAATCTCTTAAGTTTATTTTTTATAATAAAAATTTTTTGTAAAATATCCATAGCTAGTAATTTTTTGCCGCTTAATATGATTAATTAAACTATTCTGGACAAATGAAATTTTGCTATATTCCGCTCGTATTACATGTTCGACTAATCGCCACGCTTTTTAGCCAACGTCAGACAATCATCCAAGAGCGGCGCCATCCTTTGTCTAAATTCTTGCGCTCTCCCACTTCGCTTCATATGTTATTTTACAACTTTTTGTAGCCTGTTTACTTGTATTTTTTGATCGAATTTTTCCGCGTAAGCAAAACCACCAAGTTTGCCGCGATCTCTTCCCCAAGGAAACCGACGGAAAGCTCAAAACCGAAAGATGTGATAGATCATCGCGCGGTCGGACAAAAAGTCTCCATCGTCAAGACCCGTCGGAGTCGATGACAGCTTCCTGGTTAGGCTTATTATCGTTTAGGTATCCTCATTCATTTTGATAACTGGCAACAACTCTGTTCGTACCATCGGATTGTCATCACGACACGAAGAACGAATGTGAGAGTCACTGCATTAGCAGTGAATGCGAATTTTTGGGGTGGAAACCGAAGACATCAAGTGGAAGACTTAGACTGATTATAGGACGTCAAAGTATGTATATTAACTGTATTATTAGTATAAGATATATAATTCTTAACTTGATTATATAATTTTCCAAAGTATTTATATATATATATATATATTTATTACTATCTGTCTAATTTAAAATACATTAGAGATAAAATATATTATGAGATTTACCATTACACTTGTCTAAGAAATTTTTTTTCATGGATATTTTAAATTATTTGAAGCAAATTTATTTTTTATAAAAATATTGAAGTCTTGTTATTTTCTGAATTGTAAATATGCAATTAAAATTCTAAATTTACTTTTGCAAATTAAGATTAAAAATAGATATGTAAATAACAAAATCTCAATTTGATATCATTTTATTTTGTCATTTTATTAATTAGCTTAATTTATGAACTTATTATAGGGATATTTAAAAGTATTAGTTTCTAAACTTATAAATTTTATCATAAATTGTTTTAAGAAAAATCTATAATCAAAATTAGACGAAAAAATTTGTGACACACTGTATATACTCAACTAAATTGTACGTGTTATAACAGAAACGTTCAGCAATAGATAAGCACATTTACTAGACTATATGTGGGACTTAACGCGAATCACATGTTCTTCCGGTTCAATAAGCGCTTCCTCGAAATGTCTCTTCAGATATAAACCACCTCCACATATTCGAATGATATATCTATAGGACATCGTTATGTGTTTGAACTCAGAATATTGTATTTTCCGTCTTGCGGAAATGTATAGTTTGCCTCGACATCATAGCGAAACATCTCAAATATATTTCTTCACAGCACTTGACTTCCTTCACATTGATTTTTCTGGTGCATCAAACATCGTTGACTTTTCTACTGTGCAGCTTGTATTAAATGTGTAACATTACACATCAACATGTCAACATATACGCTTCTCGATCTTCTGTGCTCTTCCGCCTCAGAACTGAAACATGAAACTGTTCAGTATTGTTTATTTTACACACCGACAAGAAATTGTCCCCTTATTCTTTGTTCGTGTGAGACTCGTGTTTCATATTCGTCAAAAACTGAATCCTTACTCTTATATCTATTTAAACCGCTACAATCGCCAACGTAACTGTATTAAATTATTGATTTATATTGATTTACATATTACTAGCATAACGTTCCATTTCTCTTTCTCTGTCCCTCTGGAATAAGTATGTGCCTGTCAATACTTACATTAATGTCAATACCTATATTATTTTATATTTGCTTTTTCCAGTGACATTAACCCTAATTTGTTTCTCTTGTGTTCTTGTACTATAATAATTTAACTAAATCTGTCAAATGTTGAAATAAAACAATGATTTTTTAAAGATAATTTAAAAACAATTTAACCTTGCAACTCATTATCTTTGATTCTAGATTCTACAGCCATCATTTACGAATAAGCATTTACGGCAATTCTATGTTTCGGATAGTCGACCCACCCCCCAATTCCAGGCAGAGCGCTAGCGAGTGGATCTATAAGGTCAGTCCTGACAACAAAAACATGCGGTCAATGCGAAATTTACCCCGGAGGTCTCTGCCAAATGGGTCACTCCGGTGGAAAGAAAGGAGAGTGAAGGTTACGACGACGACGGAGATGTCGTGGAGCCATAAAAGTCAAAATGCTGCCTAAGAGTGAACGTGTTCGAGACGTAGTGGCTCTAAGCGAATTACCTGAGATCCACACGTGGATCTCAAGGTGCAGCCTTGAAAAGTTACGATGGCCGGAAGATCGATCGTCCGGCCGCACGATGGTTTCTCGTGCGATCTTGAAACCAGTATCAGTAAGAAGTCGCGCATATCACCTGTCGACTTCAAAGTATCGCGATGTTATTTTATTAGTGATTTGTCTTTAGACAATTTTCATTATATTATACAAGAGATTATTAATAAGTAATTATAACAAAAAACTTATATAAATTTAAATCAAAATATAAGTGTTAATTCTGTAGTATATATGTTATGCCATATCATAGAAATTAACAATATACTCAATCATTCGTGAATTTTTTTGTTATTAAAAGTAACTTTTCATTTTAAGTTAATGCTATGACATTGCATGTTGTCACTTTCGCTCTAATTTTAATTACAATATAGATCTGTTTGCGTTGCACTATTTGCACTCAGCATCTTCACTTCCTCTCTCTTCAACGTCTAAATATATATTATTTATCACAATTTAAGTATAAAAATTTTTAGAGGTTTTAAGCAACGTGAACGGACCTCATAATTGCTACTATTTAATAGATTTATTTATTATTTTTCTATAATATCTACAGAAAAGCTTTTACAGAATATACACTGTTTTTACAGAATTAATATTCTTATTTAACATGGTTATTATATTATATAATTAAACAAAATATCACAAGTAACAAACATAGCGCAAAATATTTTATTGAACGAGTTAATTGTATATTCGTTCAATAATTTTATTTTATATAACATTTTTTTAAATAATAAAAGTAAATAGTTATTATAGATTCATTAAAAACTATTTTTAATTTTATGATTAAAATATAGATATTATGTTCTATTATTTATGTATATATTGTAATTTTATAATCAAACCTTGTAGATTTATCCTAAGAAAAAATTAATTAGTCAGATGCAATTTCAATGCCTTTGAGACCTTCCTTTAATTAATTTTCTGAATATCATATAATGTTTCTGATTACTTGAATAAAGCAATGAGAATGTTATTAATGGCACAATATCATTTTACAATAATTTATTTTGTTAGTATATTGTGTGTGTTTGTGTGTGCGTATTTTCTGGTGTTAAAAACATAAAAGCATTCGTTTACTTATCCCTAGATGTTATTTCTCTGGTCGAGGGAACCAATCCCGGATCCAAGAGCCGGTCCATGGTTTGCCTGGTTCGCGACGGCTGTTCTATTGTGGCGTTGTCGGCGTCGCATTACCAAAGCGATTTTGGCTATTTCACCCCTGAGATTGTTAAAGAGACGTGCTATCGGTCTAGCTATCAATCAGAAGATGATTTTGAAGCAACAAAAGAGACACAGCCTTGCCCAGCTACACAAGCATAAAACTGTCGGCATACGGCGAGCGAAGCGACTGTGCACCGGCGATGGTCCGCATGTGTCCGGCAATATATCCATGATACCACAGATTCACTACAGAGTCACCAGGAGTGGTAGAATCTACGGAAAATATCCGAACAAGACCGCTATCCCAAATGGCAGCATTCAAGAAAGCCATTGATATCGCGCTAAAATTATCAAACACTCAGTTACTGTTTTGTCTCTGTATAAATCTTGTAATTGTCATTGTATCGTCAACATAATTTCACTTTGAGAAAGAAACAATTTTTCAAATATATACGGTATATACTTATTCTTTTTCTTGACACAAATTCCTTTTAAAAAATGTTCTCTTTTTTAATATTGTTTAATACTAGAGAGTCTATAATTATACATTATATGGCATTTAAGACAATTTTTCGTGCTTTTTATAATTGAATAATTTTGGCAGAATCGTTTTACATGTATTCCATAGGATTTGCAAACAATACCAAAATACCTTTAATTTGACTATTTGCTGTTTTTGTTATTGCATAATGTAACGCAGAAATTATATGGCGTAAATGTGTGTTTTGCACGAAATCAAATAACTGCAATTTTATTCCAATCAATATGCATGATGTATCTTTTTGGTTTGAAGAAATCTCCATAAAAAGTTTATTTTATCTGTTTTTGTGTCCTTGACATAATTTAGAAACAAAGTCCAAGACCTTGAAAAGAGGTCATCATGCCACTTAGCGTTTTGGATTTCTAGCTGCGTTTATCTCTTTATCGACCAAGCACAAATCAATAAAAGCTGGCTGCGTTTAGGACGCCTAGTGCGTTTATACAGAGTGCCCTAACTTTCCAGATGCTTTCTTCATAGATATTTTAATCAGCTTAGGAACATTTCTTTTTAACATTTCAAAAAAGCAAAAATTTGAAATTTCTAGCTTTAATTAAAATTTTATAAATTTTAAACGAACTAATATTCATGCACTGTTTACTCATTTTATCTTTATGTTTAGAAAAAGAAATATTGCGTGTCTATTAGCATAATATAATTTAGATATTAACAAAAAGATATAAACGAAATTTAACATTCACTTAAAAACACTTCTCTTTGTTTACACTATCACTTAACTTAAAAATCTAAATATTTTTATGAAGAAAAAGGCTTTCGTCTAATTGGAATGATGGGCGTCTAGAAACGTCTTTCCTTAAGCTGTCGCGCGAGCGGTGTATCGCGGAAAAGCACTCGTTGGCACAGCCTAAGTAACAATGAAATGCTGCAGAACTTTCGTATCAGAGATGTGCCAATTTAAGCGGCACAATGCCCGCGGTTTCAGAATGAGCAAACGTATGGAACGTGTGCATCGTCGAGCAGAATGGTACGTAACTATGCCAAATTTAATCATTCAGTAGCTAGGCTACTGACATCGGGGCTGTACTCATTGCATGTTGTTGTTCAAGACTTTCAACAGGATATTTGTAACACAAATCAATTGTTTTAAATTTCTTCAGATACACTGTTTTTTCTTTCTTTTATCTGTCCTTAAAAATATATTGTATCATTTTCTCTACGTTTTATGGAATTAAACTGTGGTATTACCGTATTACAGTATTAAAATGTGATTGCAATGATTATATCTTACAAGGAAACCATCGAAGCCGTTCCTCATCGATTTTGAGGCTTTGAGTATATTGTAGATTGTAGAACATAAAAAATTATTAGACCAATATTTTTTTATCAGTGTATCTTAAGGTTTAGGGATTGAAACACCCCCATGAAAATGGATTTTATTGTTTTCAGGAAATATCTTCGAAACTATGTGATATGAAAAAATGTTTTACACAAACGATTTATGACATTTTATGTTCTATACATATAATAGTGTATTCTATATTGCATATTATTTCATTATTATTTTATACTGTGATTCTTTAGATAATGATAACAAAATTTATATCTTATTACGTTTTTTAAACTATAATACTGTATTTACACACGCCTGCAGAAATATGTATAACAATGATTCCCCTTCCTCTCTCTCATCCAAGAAAATGAAATGTCAAAAAAAAATGATTGAGGTGGCCGATATCACTCGACCTTCCCCTACTGACAGCATATTTTGCGCAACATGATGGAATATGATTATATTTTTGTTCTTAATTAATAAAAAAATATTATCGTAAGATAAACTTTGATTATCAACACATTTCAACATACTATTTAATACTGATTCATTTTACTTTTAATGTGCGCATAACACTTCTGATAGTATTTGATATCATTTTCTTGCGTAGAATATCATTTCCTTATCGACTTATGACGGATCTTACGCAAGTAAATCAAAATACATAAGGAAAAGATATTATATATCATTCAATGTTAAACATAATATCTCAACAATTGAAGTGCACGCTTACGAATAGATTTTTTGTCGTCTTGAAAAATATAATCATTCCGTCGTATTGCGCAAAATGTTTTTCTGCAGAATGATTATTTTGCAAAATCTTAACTTTAATATTACACGAAAAATATATTTCATGCGTATTTAATTAAAAACGGTGAGGGATAGCTCCGACGATTCCTTTATTAATATCTCGATAATACACATAAAAAAGAATGTTATGTTATTCGAGAATCTTGTTATTATCAGTAACGATTTAATCAATAACAGAAATACGTATGAATAGCAGACTATTTTTATTTCATCAAAAGTAATTTATATTCGAACAAATTATCAATTTAAATTGCGTACCAAAAAGAAACAAATTAATTAAAATTCCGCGAAAATGACGACATTAACATATGGAGTTAATTCCAGCTTTCTTATTTTTAAAAAAACTATTATAACATCAAATAAAATTCTAATGAAATATCCGAAAACCTAATTTAAATTTCTATTTGATGTAATTAACAGTGTACGTAGTCATCCCATGAGAATGGCCAGCGATTTTCAGACTTTAATCAAAAGAGTACGAATAAATTACGAGGAGACTTCATCAACATGTTTAATGATAGCCGATAGAGGGGACTAACTTGTCTGAATAAATAAGTATTCAAATAAGATTATCAGCATTTTGTTTATTTGCAAATAAAATTGTAATTTCAATTATAATAAATTTTAAAGATTTCATCAAAGCCTGTGACACACGATCTTGTTTTCTTGCTGGATTCCTAGCTGGATTAGATTCTTGTCATTGTATTGGCTGCGGTACTGACAGTGTTAGCATCATAGCCAATACTGTGTGTGGCAAAAATTTATTCTAGTTAGCAATCCAACAAGAAAACAAGCATCGTATGCCGCCAGCTAAATCTCTTATTAAATAATCGTAGAAATTATTTAAAATATTTTGTTATTTATTATTGTAGTAATTTTGCAAATTAATATAGATTTAGAAATACATTTTTCTTTGCTTAGACTGATCAATTCAATTTAATTTTTTAATTATAACTATATAGTAATAGTTATAATATATGTGTACTAACAAAAAATATAGGTCACTGTGTCGAGACAGTGGCCTATATATTTTGCGGATGGATATAGTTACCGCATTTTACATTTCTATTATTAAATACTTATATAAAACTTACAATTCAATATAATATCCGAAATTAATAAAAAAGTTAATTATATATTTTTTGCCATGGAATAAAATAAAGTAAAATTCAATTATTTTAGTGTTCTAAGTACTAATTCCAACAAATATTATTTAAACTACAAGTACGAATAGAGGATTTAGTTAACTATAGTTATAGTGAGTTTCACCGATCGTCTAAGTTAACCAATTGTAACACACACTTATCGATTTCCTATCCATTTCTATATCATTCTACTTGAAAAGACATGGAAATTACTTTGATAGTTTTTATTGATATTACACTACTTTGATCAGTTGGTATCATAAAACAAATCATTTGATAATGACATATATATATATATTGCGCAATTTGGATAATTTTTATGTTCAAGCTTTTAATTACAATTCTAATAATAGTAATTAAGATTCTTAAAGCAATACATAGAAAAATATACTAATATAAGTCTGAGACATTTTGTATTATAATTTAATTTTTTATAAATTTGATAAGTTTCATAAATTTTTTAAATACAATAAAGCAAAACGTCAAGGTGGCGAACCGAGTCACGGAACCGAGAATCGATAAAAAAAAAAGCATTATGAGACATTTGGTCGAGAACAGAGAATATCTATCCAATGATCACCAACTTTTTCCGTTCAGCGCGTTTGACAACCCTGAAATCGTCGCATTCTTACAGCAGCGAGAGTGCGAGCAGATTCGCTGTGGCCTGTGACGACGGTGTTGGCGCGGGGCATTGCGACGGCAGGGTCGCAGCCTCGAATGCGCCACGAAAATGCCCGGGTGGGAAAGGGTGGATTGGGGGCGGCGCGCAAGCGTCGTTGTCGTCGTATCGACGCTTCGACGCCCGGGCCGAGGGAGAGAAACGGATTTCTCTGTCAGTAGTGGTAGAAGTCCCGGTCGGGGTTGAGCGAGAGTGCGAATATAAGCGCGTGTTCATAGCAGTGTGCTTTCGCGAATGCATCTCGAGTGCATCTCTCAGAACGAAAAAAATATATAAGACGTTAAGACGCCATCACATAGAAAAATAACAACAACAAAGACGACGACAGGTAGAGACGCATTATCAGCGTCTTGATTGTCGCTCTCCGGTTTGACCGGGTTTGCAGAGAAAAGTGGCGAGAGGGTGGACGGGAGTGTAGGAAATTGTGAGAGAGGCACCGGCAAGAGCTACTGGTGCACACAATCAGGATGCGACTGAGAAGGTACGTGTGGCGTCGGTCGAATGTGATCAATGGTAGCAATGAGTAGCATAGATGCAGTATACAGAATGCCCGACATCCGGGATACTGCTCCGAACCATGATGTCGTTTTGCTCAATTATATTAGGATTTCGAGATACTATGATTTGTGGGTATTGTGTTGCTTTAGTCTATTATTTTTTATATAAATCTAATCGCCATACGATAGCTTCCAATGACTTGGAAACTGCAAATCGGAAAAGCAGGGAAATGGGGAATTTAAAGTTAGTCTCCATGTCTAATACCTTCCAGCAATCGAATCCTTCGTGCTTCCAGTCAAGAGAAACCTTGCGCAATGATATACGCAGTCGATTGAAATTACTTGTTCTGTTAATGTTTCATGAAGATAATTATCTTGGGATGTGTAGAACGTATAAAACTTTTAAAGTTTTGATATTTTTTA